TTAATAATTCAAGAAGTCTAAGGAATATTATTTGTCTGAGGCCTTGTCAGGGCCATAATAGTTTAAAAATCCAATAACGAAAAGCATAAATAAATCCACCACCTAGGAACACAAGCCAGAACAACCCATTATTTAGGCTCAAATGTGTTCAAGATTCAATCATACAGAGTTTTGGATCCAAAGGTAGAGACTCTTAAAAAGCTGGTGACACAAAGAAAATTTTTAATTCTAAAATGACCAAATCCAATATTTTAATGAGAAAATTGGACATGAAACGTATTTCAATATAAGCAAAGTAATGGTTCTGATATGCTTAATTTTCAAAATTTTAAAAATCAGGATATTTAAATATGTCACCCGTGCCCCACTTCTGTTCACATAAATAATAAGCTATACCAAGTGCTGAAAAGTAAATGTGTTGGCTTACCTTGGTTTTTCAATTTTGTATTTTCGATAAAGTGCAATATTCCTTGAGTTATCTAAACCTTTTCACCCTCATTGGTGAAAGCATAACCATACCCAAATTAATTTTCAAGCATTTTTGAGACATAATATTAGATTAATTTCTGCTCTTCTTCTCTATTAACACACACACACACACACACACACACACACACACACCTGTTTTTATTTGCCATTTTCTTTAAAGATGCTAACATAGTCCTGATACTTGGATATGTATTAGAAACTGGGTTTATTCACAGTGACACTTCTTCATTGTGTTTGGGTAGGTAATCATTAAAAGTAGCTATCTCTCAGCTGGAGATTAGCTAGGAGTTATTCCATCTATTTGCAAATGAAATTCAACTGTAGTGACTAATTATGTGTACATAAAGGAAGAAGGAAAGTGTGTGAGGTTGTTATAGTAAGAAAGAAGAGATTAGATTCTATAATTTCACAGTTCTTTTCATTTACCCATGGGTACTTTCTAAGCCCTCAAAATAGGTTCTAATACTAATTGACTAATTAAGCTCAATACATATTTTCCTGTAATATATAGAATGTATGGAGATTAACAAAACCATTTTATAAAGTGAGAGCTTGCTATTCTCTACATGTACCTCAAATTTTTCATAATTTATTTTACAAACTGTAAAATGGCTTCTCTAGCAAACCAAATCTATTACTCCTAAAATGATCTCTGATATTTGTTTAGATTTGGGTCACATATGGGAGGAGGCGAACATACTATGGTGACAATAAAAGTGACTATGTAGAGAATCAAGTAATTATTTCAACTTGTCTTGCAAAACACAACCTAGGAAAATGTTTGGATACTGTACTTGATCTGGATAGGCCTTTCACCAAGAATCTGTTAATATCTACACATATACACACTTCTCAAAGAGACTAAAGAAAACTTCTATATGTTCCTTAAGAAAACATAAGAGATCCAATATACCAAGGAAATATTTCTACTATGAGATATAATGGAAAGGCAGGTGGGTGGGGGGTAGAGCACTAAATTGCTACACTAAAAATAAGGATATTATATTCTGTTTTATAATCTTATAAAGAGGAACACGCAAATGGGTACATATACACAAGAAATTACAGAGAGGAATAGATAGGGGCCGGGGTGGGTAATGGCAGAAATGACTCATCTAAAAGCATCTTTTTCAGCTCCAAAATAGTGTGGCCCAGGTATTATACATTTTTTCTCTAGTCATATGTCCCTTTCTAAATCGCTTTATCAATAACATTATGTTTTTCCTCTTTTTATCTGGTCACTTTATTTCTCTCAGTCCCTATCTCCCTTGTCTCTATTATTCATTTTTTCTCTTTCTTATGCTAGAAATATTGTTTTATAACGAATATAAGAAATGAAATAATCAATAAAAAAGTAAATCAACATGTAAATCATCTAACCTCACCTGGGTTATTTTGTTGCAGCCTTCTAATTGGTCTGTCCCTCTACAATCCATTCTTCTCCCACACTAGCCAGAGAGATACTATTAAAACATAACTTTGATCGTGTCACTTTACTACCTACAACCCTCCAAATCTAACCATTGTGTTTAGATTAAAAACTAAATTCCTTACCATGACTGGCAAAGCCCCGTGCCATCAGGCCTTGGCTAATTTTCTCTAGCCTCATCTTAACCCACTGTAAACCTTCTTTCTATTCTTTAAGAATAGCAAACTCTTTCCTTCTTTAGGACCTTATTCCTGCTATTCCTTCTGCTTGGTACACATGGTATCCTACATCTGCATCTAGATTTTGGCTTAAGTATCACCGCTGCAGACAGGCCTTCTATTAGTAATGCAATACAGAGTGGATTTATCACTACACTGTTTTCCTTAGGAATTTCTCATCTGTCCTCTCCACTGGAACATATGCTATGGGAGAATAGGACTTAGAATCCTCAGAGCTTGGAACAATTGTTGGCATGTGGCAGGTGCTCCATAAATATCTGTCAAACAAACAAAGCTGCAAACTTCTTCGTTGAATGCTATAATAATACTGCTTGCCTTTCAAAATAATATAGAATTCTTTCTTCTTCTTGTGGATATTTGTAGAAAGAAAGACAGCTCAATTATTATGCAAGCCCATTTCCCTTTAATGTTATGTGACATTGGAATTGCTTTTGTTCTTCTAAATTTGTTTCACGCTATCTGATACATAATTTAATCTAATTTCTCATTGTGCTTGCTTATTCAACTTGAGTTAAACACTTTCATGCATTGGGTAGTATATTTATCTGTCTTCTTCACATTTTGTCTATTTACTTCATTTTTATGTCCTTAGAACAAATGTGTGGGCACTTAATCATCTGTTTCCATTTTCATGTGGCATTGCTATAGACTGTACTGTGGGTTGCAGAATCCAAACATAAATTAAGGCATCTTCTGATTAGAAAATCTGACATAAAATACTAAAATATTTCTTTGGTCAGAATTATTTATAGAGCTATCATTGTTTTTGCAAAACAGCAAATGCTTTCACAGCTGTGAAAAAGAAAGAAAATGATTAAAAAATTTTGTGGGATTTTTTTTTTCTTTTGAGGGGCTTGATTGTGGCTGGTAAATTTCTAAATTAGTTCATTTTGTTAAAAAAAAAAAAGGTCTTCAGAGAGGTCTTCAGTGTATTAAAAAAAGCAAAAATTGCAAAAGAAGTGGGAAAAGCAGTTTTACACTTACAGAGATTTCAGACACTGTGGTCAACACATTCTGAGAGAAATACAGTCACTATTTTTTCTCATGAATTTTTTACACTTGAATGTAGGAATCAAATGTGACTTCTGCCTCACTTTGTGTTCAGATATAAGGTCAGGGAGACCAATAAATCATAGAGAAGCTCACTTCAATATGCCTCAAACTAAGTATTTGTGTATATGAAACTTTGAAGTTCTACAGATTATAGAATTACTGGTATAGTTAGTACCTAGACAAAAATATATTCAGTATCTTTCCAGTTTTCTTATTATAGCCCAACTCCAAAAACTTCAACCTCCTGAGACTAAAATTCATGGATTCTACAATCTCTCAATGGCCCTTGCTCCTCCTTCTAGGGCTCCTCTCTCCCTTGCCCAGTTTAAATTCCAAGGTCAATCATTATAATCTTTCCTTCTTATGCACCCTCCATTCACCATTCCCTCCCTCAACCACTTATTTTTTCCTGGCAAAATATCAGTCTTGGATAAATTTAGTTCACTGCCTACTTGGAACCTGAATCCAGGCAAACAAACAGGGCTGAAACACACACACACACACACACACACACACACGCGCGCGCGCGCGCTCTCTCTCTCTCTCTCTCTCTCTCTGCCTGACCAAACTTTAGACAGACTTCTTTTGAACTATTAGGCTCTTGATCTCCCTTTTCTTAGAGCATTTACTTTAGAAAATTTGCAATTGTTAACTCTTAATCTGCCTCTTTGAGATGCAAAGCTTCTCCTAGATTTTGTCAGTTGTACAGATCAGGAAGGTCTTTCTCAAGGACCAAGAAGTCATTCCTTAGAAATGTAATTATAGAAGGATACAGGGGCTCTATCCCAGTCTCTAGGAGGGTAGGAGCCTAACTTGCATAAGCGATAATTAGCAAACACAGATGACCAAATCACACAGACCAACCTCCTCCCAACATAAGGAGGTTTCCACTAGCTCACCTGAGCACTTAAAAAGTCTCCCACCTTTTGTTCCAGCAGAGTTAAGTTCGATTTCTCTCCCCTACTGCAAGTCTTAAACACTTCCTTGCCTAACTTAGATTTGGGATTGCTAACATCAAATGAAGGCTGAATGGTGCCTGGCAATTATACTGTGTTTTCCTAGTTTATTCACTCTTTCGTTTTTCTCATACCTTCTCTGTCCTTAAACTTCTCATATCTCTATCTAATCCTCGTTCTCAGTTGATTACCTTGTTTTGTAGATCACTGAGAAAATACAAGTCACCAAAACAGGCCCTCCAACCACCTACTGCACATGTACCCAGATATTCTGCCTTCCTTGTCTATATAGGCACCAAAGACCCTATCCTCTTGTACGTACACAAGACACTGCTTGTATAAACTTCCTATCTCCTGCTTCAACATTTATTGCCGAAAAGGTTCAAAGGTTCAGAGAAAAAGAAGTAACAGTGATACTTTCATATTCAGACATAAAATTATGTGTGTAAAATATATTTATATGCTAATAAACTATGCACCCAACTGCTAATTCCTGTTGTAAATTTGCTCACCTGAAGCTTCTTCGGATTGGCAATTGCTACAATCTTGCTTTACAGTGACTAAAATAAGGGAAATATGCTATCTCCCATTCTCAGAAGTCAAAGTAACATTATATTTGCCACAATGAAGATTTCCTCCCTCTACAGTTGATTTGCACATTTCTGACTCTGTATAAATGTCAGATGTGCTAAGCTGCTTTTTGCTGAAGCCAAATAAAAAGCATCCCAGAGCTTAAAAATATTTAAAAGGTCTCCCTGTAGTTTGTAACTTATTATTACACAGCTCTGATGGGCTGGGTCCCATCTTAAAAGTTCAAGGGCTAAAAGCAATTACCTCTTCAAGGACGTCCGCAAGCTTACTGAGGATCTCCTCAGGAAGGCTCTGGAATGTTGGAACGCTGAAAAATAAAACAGAGATAATGCTGAGGCATGAACAGCAACTTACTTTCTTAAATAAAACAGCAGTATGTCTGAATGAAAATGCAAAAGCATTTGATAACAAAGAATCTGTAGATGAAAATCAAAGCAATAATGTAAGCGTGACTTGATGATGAACAAGAAAAAAGCATATTGTACTGGAAAGAATTCAGGGGTTGCACAGAATTGATTTCAAATCCCACTTATATTTATCTGTGTGATGTTGAATACCTCGGCTATAATGGGAGAATACCACTCTCTCCCTTATCAGTCTGTGGAAACCAAATTCCTTTCAGTTCCATCACCCTCTCTAGCTACCCCACCTCCAACACACACACACACACACACACACACACACACACACACACACACACACACACACTTTTCTATGGCCCAATTTCCACTCACTCTTTAGGACACAGCTTGACTTCTTCTTTCATTCAGACCTGCAAGCATTCATTCAAAAATGTTGGACTTGTCGTACTCTCAACCCCATCCCAGCTGGAAAAGGTCCTTCTATAATAAACTCCTTATGATTGCAACTACAGTTAGATAATCAGATATGTTAATTGTGTCTTCCCTACTAGAATTAAAATTTCTCAAAAATAGGAACAGTATCTGTCTTGTTCGACTCCTGTATTTCCAGTGATTTACAAATAACTCAATAGCATGTTTTGGATAAAGTTACGAAAGCATGGATGTGGGACCATTTCCTAGGACAGTTATAAGGATCAGATCAGATGGTGGAAAGAGAGCCAGACTCATAGTAGATACTGAAAAATGTTAATTCTGTTCTTATCATCATCTTCTCTATTTTCTCTCATTGATCAGCAAATGAAAAAAATATCGAATGATGTTAAATACACAAACCAACAAAACTTCTTTTATATGTGAAATAGTAATGACTTAAAAAAAAAAGTCATCGGTATATAATTCTTGAAACTCCACTGAAAAATCTAACTGGAATGTGGAACTAAATTCTCAATTAATCATACCTCAACGTTTGAATAGGGAAAAGACTATAAATGAGTGCAAATACATTTGTATGTATGATATTTGACTTACAGAATAGTCCCGGCTTGATTAAAATGATACCATGAAAGAAACCATAACATATTGTTTGGGTATAAATATGAAATTTTTATTAATTTAACTGTCATCTCTGATTCCCATTATTTAGTGTAAAGCTAATTGATAAAATCCCAAGGTTTTACACAGAAGTATAACAGTGCACCCAGAACCATCTGTTTCACCAGATTTACTGCTGTGGTCTGAGCCATGTGGGTTCTAATTTCCAGAAGGCAGTCTATCTAAGCAGCTGAATGGAACATAACACAGGAAGAGACAGAGGAAGATAGAGGAAGCTGTTTCCAGGAGGTATGCAGGTTAAAAAATCTTGTTCTTTTAATGAGCTATATTTCAGTTTCTTCTGAGATGTAAGAATGAGTAGAATGTTTCTATCCCAATGGGTATTTATGGAAAACACAAACTACAACTGAATTTTTCTCATTTTATTATAATTGGCTCTCCTCTTTAGACAGGCCTATTATGTTATGTTTATGTCAACCCATACTACAATACTTTCATTTTCATGAGCATTCTTACCCAGGAAAAAAATTTCATATTTGCTTGATCACATAACACACTAAATAAAATAATAATAATAATAAAATAATAATAATAATAATAATAATAATAATAATAAGTTTTAGGAGGGCATTTTAAATAAATTGTCTTTTACAATTTTACTTAACTATTTTTTCAGCTCTATTGAGGTATAATTGACAAAACTGTAACATATTTAAAGTACACACCATGATGATTTGATATGCATATACGTGGTGAAAAGATTCCTCCCATTTAGTTAATCTAATTAATTAACACATCCATCACTTCACATATTTATCTTTTACTGAGGACATTCACATTCTCTCTTAGCAAATTTTAATTATACAACAGTGTTATCAACTATAGCCACCATGTTATAGCTCAAAGTTTGTACACTTTTACCAGCCTCTCCCTTTCTCCCCTACTCCTCAGCCCTTGGAAACCAGCTTAATACTCTACATTGTTATGAGTTTAACTTTTTATTTAGATTCCATATTAAGTGATACCATAAAGTACTGTCTTTCTCTGTCTGGCTTATTTCACCAAGTGTAATTCCCTCAAGGTCCATCGATGTTGCAGCAAACAGCAGCTTTCCTTATTTCTCATGCCTGCCTAATGTTTCATTGTATACATATCACAATCTTTCATAATTTTAAATGCTTCAAGACATTCAGCAGCATTTATTACTAATAAAAATTAAGCATGATTTTTAAGAAGGAACACTAAAAAATTATTAGTAATAGTTGAAGCACTTCTAAATTTAACAAAATGGAAATCAATTGGCAGAAAAATAAGTGGTTTTGCTTTTATAAATGACTCTGAAAACACTTTTATAGTCCCATATTCTGAATTTGTCTTAATGATTTTATTTTGGTAGTCTACTGAATGAAAATAACTAACAGAGGAGGGAAAAACACAAAAAAATTCATTCCAGTTATGTCTGTGAAAAAATAATTGAGCCTCATAAAATTACGTACAATAGCAGTGCTCAATATGTGGTCTTAGAGCCCAAGATTCTCCAAGACCCTTTCAAGGGGGTCCTCAAAGTCAAAAAGAAAAAAAAAGTCTAAATTGAAATTTGTTTTCACTCCTTTCACATGTGTACAGAATCCTTCAGAAGTTACACAACATACGATGACATTATTATTTTGATGGCTAAAGAAGGTATGCTTGCATGTTCCTGTGTTTTCTAGAATTTTTTTGGTAGTAGGTTTATGATATGTGTGCAATTTACAGAAATTAACTAAGTATTATTTCAGTACTTCTACTATGCTTTTACTAGTTAGTTGTCATATGCCTGCTATAATCCCTGTAACCTAAATCAGTCTTTTGACTTTGGAAGATTTCTTTTTTCTTAAGTGGAAAAACAATGAGAAGTAAATATATGTGGATATCATGTGTTATGATAATAGTGTTATATTTTAAAATATGTTTAACTTTTAAATTTTATCTAAAATTTATTATTTTGAGAGTTTATAATTATTAACATTAAGAATTTAATGAAGTCTATTAGATTGTTCTTATTTTTAAGGATGGATAATTCATTTTGAAAGGGAAGATTGGAAGAGTCATATTTACAAGCCACAGCTGCCAATTTCTAAGTCTAAAGACACTAAAAAATATAACAAGAACACACCAGAGACTTTTCTGAATTATGAATAGAATAAATCTAGTCCAAAGAAATTTGGAGACACTGGAAATAAATAAAAATGTAGTAAAATCTAACTCCCTCAGAATTATAGATGACAATTTACCTTATTGTCTTATACAACAGAACCATTTAAAAAATATGCCAGTTGTTATGACATTTTTAGTCCAATAAAGTTTTTTAAAAAGTATATTTTAAATATAGACATGATAAAATGTTTCAGAGCCAAATAATGTTTGGTACAGTTTTTCAAATTAGAAATGAAAAAGTGAAGCATCTTACGGGGTGAATTTCTATACCTTAGTGACTGGAGAAGCCCACAAGATAGCTGAGTGACCAATAAAA